AAAGAAAGAGTTTGGTTCATACATGTATTTGTATACATAATTGAAACGTATTAAAATAATGTTGTTCCAATAGATTGAAAAATACATGGATATTGACTGGCGATACCATTCGTTGTCAGTTTATTTAGGATAATTTATCAGGAAAGGAAACTCCCAAGAAGTAAATTGGCTTTGAATTTTTTTTAGTTACCTGTTTAAATGGGATTTATTTTCACAAATAGCTTCATAATTAAAGATATGTAAGTTATGTGAATTTGCTTTACTGTCCATAATAGCAGGATGAGCAATTCAATCTAGAGTGAATAGATGTTTTGAATAGATATTTTAACAGATCTGTTTGGTTTTTTTAAAAACAGCTTCTATTTTTCCTTGCAAGGTTACCTCATGTAAGAAAGAACATGTTTTGGAGAGAGCAAATTTGGGGGGAATGGTTGGAATAAAATGGAAATGGGAAGAATTGAGCATCTAGGAATTGAAGGGAAGCAGACTATACCTTTCAATGTCTCTGACTGCAAAATTCCCTGGTATTGTTTTATCAAATTTTCCCTGGTCTCCATTGTTTGGTTATTTTCTCATTTTTTTAAATACCAAACTTTCAGAAGCATATATTCATTTTCATATGCATTTCTTAAAAACAAGTGCAATTTTTACATCTTTTTGACAAGAGAAAAACTATGTTTGTTAATTGCATTTGTTATTGCCATGGTGCCAGATCTCACAAATCCACCCCTGGGAAAAAATTATGGCTGAGTTGTTTTACATCTCAGCTTAAAACCTAGACTGTGATCTATGACTGCTTATACAGTAGTAAATTTGTTAGTTTTTAGGGAAACAGACCGTACTTTATTGTTTAGATCTTTTTTCTTAAGTTGATAATTAGATGTAACCTTCAATAATTGAGTTTGGCCAAATATAAACTTTGACTGTATAATTTTAATGTAGACTAAAACAATGTTCCTCACTCTTGGCAGCTTGAATATGTGTGGACTTCAGCTCCCAGAATTCCCCAGCCAAACTTGCTATTCTGGGAGTTGAAGTCCACACATCCTCAAGTTGCCAAGGTTGAACAACTCTGGACTAGAATATAATCATTTCTCTTTTCACAATGAAGGCTCGTATTGCAGAGTGCTTTTGCTCTTCTGTTTAGGATCATTTCACCTCTCCCGATGAATACGATGATCCTGCTGTTCTCTATGAAGCTATCACAACGCATGAACAAAACCTGGTTATAGCTCATGAAGGGGACCCTGCTTGGCGAAGTGCTGTACTTTCCAATTCTCCCTCCCTACTTGCCCTTCGCCACGTGATGGATGACGGCACCAATGAATACAAGATCATCATGCTGAACAAGCGTTATCTAATCTTTAGAGTCATTAAAGTAAGATACTTTTAATGGGGTGGATGAAACCACCTATTCTAGGATGAGATGTGATAAGCGGGGAGGATAGGCATTTATTACTTTATGGTATGAAATTGGTGTTTTGATTTTTGATTCCTTTTTTAAATGCTGTGATTTTGTTAAGTAATTTTTTGATGTTAAATTGTTTTAGGTTTTTAAATATTTTGATTAAAGAAATCTGCAGGACTTGCAAACTAGGCAAATTAAAAAAACGGTTATATTTTATATTTAATTCCATAATTGGGAGAAGTGTAGCACAGGCACCTCTCACTATCTTGCTATGTCTTACTTCCAGCAGCATACTGATAACAGTTTTTATCTATTTCTTGTATATAAGCAAATTTTAAATTTTGTTTATGCCAACACTTGCTTAGAAGTAGAATAAATAATTATATAATAAATGCATGAATGCTTTCCATAAAGTTAAATAGAGAGTCTGCATGTTTCTGAAGTAATTAAATGAATTTTAATTATTTTTCTAAAAGGTAAAACTTTAATGTATAATTTTAAAATTGTTTAAATCTTGAGGGTATTTATGATTAGGATGGAAGTGTGTGTGTGTGCGCGCGCGCCTATATCCTGTTTTCAGTATGCATTTAAAAAGCGTCTATGAAGATTTTCAATCATCCAGGTCATGGTTGTCCCAAGGCAATTGAACTTTCTTGGGTTTTTTTCCTTTGAAAATGTTTCACTTCGCATCAAAGATGCTTCTTCAGTTCCCCACTGAAGAAGCTTCTTAGATGAGAAATGAAATGTTTTCAAAGGGAAAAAAAAACAAGACAGTCCAGATGCCTTTTTTAAAAAAGCACTTTTGGGACCTTTAAAAAATGGTTGTAATTTTAGACTACTTTTGTACTAGTAGATTTATTTGGTAAAATCAGTGAATATTTCATGTCATAAGATTCATGTAGTTATAGCTGTCTTGATTTGCATTTTGCCACACCATTTTTCTTACCTATCTTCCCCATTTCTGTGTTTTTGCAGGTAAATAAGGAATGTGTCCGTGGCCTTTGGGCTGGGCAGCAGCAGGAGTTGGTCTTCTTGCGCAATCGAAACCCAGAAAGAGGGAGCATCCAAAATGCAAAACAAGCTTTGAGGAACATGATTAACTCATCTTGTGATCAGCCCATTGGATACCCAATTTATGTCTCACCTCTGACAACTTCATATTCTGATAGTCATGAACAGCTAAGAGAGATTCTTGGTGGTGCCATCAGTCTGGGAAACATCAAGAACTTCGTAGTATCTACATGGCACAGGTGAGTAAAAGAAGTCTCCAGAGTACAGTTGCTCATTTTAGTATATTTAATTAGAATGGTAATTATAAAGTTTTTTGTTTTATCACTTTTCCTTTTACAATGCAAATCCAGAGTAAGATTCCTGTCAAAACCAAGAATATTGCTTTTATTAGAAATTTCAGTACATTGTCAACAGTCACTTTAATCTCAGTTGTATTATTTACCTCCTGCAAACATTAACTATGGATAAAGTTTGCTCTTTGTGAAACTCTGTTCCAAACACAGAATGCTCCCTTAATAAACCCAATTTTCTCTGGAATTCACAGTTCCAAGGATGATTTTTAAGTTTCTGAACGTAAATTAGGCAATACAATCTTATCTGTTTTGTTTCTACCTACAACAACACTCAATACAACTGAGAAAACTGGTGTTGTGTTAAATAACTTTTGGACAGGGCCCGCTTGTTCAGCTTTACCTGTCTCAAGAAATTATTATGAGATGCCATCATGAATTTCTGGAAGAAAATGTATGATAAATAAACATGAAAAGTATAGGTCAAGATATCTTTGGAAGATTTTGATGTTTACTTTCTTAGTCTGCTTGCTATTGTTTTTTTTATTATTATTATGTTCAGGTTAAGAAAAGGCTGTGGTGCTGGTTGCAACAGTGGAGGAAACATTGAAGACTCAGATGCTGGAGGTGGTGCTTCCTGCACAAGTAATAGTGTAACTGCCAATGATTCTCAGAGCAGTGTATCTCAAGGTGGTGGGAATGCAACTGTTGGACAGGGATCTGGAGTAGGATTGCATCCTCCTGTCACATCTCATCCAGTCACCCTAGGTAAAACTGAACTAGTGCCTGAGAGTGTATATATTCAAATACCTCACTGCCAGATTGGGATAATTAGACTTTGAAACATTGTTGTTTTAACTTCTGTCTTCCCGTCAACAGTGTCTGTTAAGCATGTTTGGAATCCACAGGTCCCATACCATCCATTCACCTTGCGGCTTTGGTGATTCTGTAGAGGGTAATAAGAAAGATACAGTGTACTTTTTCCCGTGAAGATCAGCACACATATAAAAGACATAAGTCATCCTCCAAAATCTCAGTATCATGAAGCTGCATGCATTTTTCAAGTGGAAAATTCTGAGACCAATCCTAAAATAGCAGTTTGGTAGAAATAACTGGTTTGGACTCTAGCCTTGAGGCACACTCAGCCTGCCTTGGTTATCTGGGAAGAGTTTGATCCTGTGGGTCCTGATGACAAGACAAGGGTTCTTGGAACTCTTACTTGAGTCATCTGTATATTGACCCATATTCTTCCTGGTTAGCCCAGGCTTCCTTGAATTGTGACATATGGCCATGGCACTAGCAAATTCCTCATTGAGTGAGGGAGTGGTCTTACCACTGCTTAAAGAGGCAGTGGTCTTACCACTGCTCAAGAAGCCATCGCTGGATTCAGCCTTTTAGGATAACATTGATTCCATCTCCAATCTTTTCTTTCTAAAAAAGGCTATTGAGAATGTGGTTGTACAGCAGCTTTAGAGAGTTCTGAAGGAAACAGATTATCTTGACTCTTTTCAGCTGAGTTTCAGACCAGGCTTGAGACCAAAACAACACTGATTGCATTTGTGGATGACCTCTGTGAGAGAGGGATAGGGGTGCTATGACCATCCTGGCTCTTCTTGATCTCTTAGTGTTCTTCAATACCACTGATCATGGTACACTTCTAAACCAGCTCTGAAGAGTGGGAGGTACAGTTGCATTGATTTTCCTCTTTTCTTCAGGGCCAGTTCTGGTTAGTGTTGATGGGGAGAGAGGGAAGAGAGAGATCTAGCTCATGACCTCTTCTTCCCTTAAGACTAACTGATCTTCCCATTCCTATTTCTCATCTATATGAAGCAGCTGGGCAAGCTCATCCAATGGTAGGGGTGATACTCAGCCACTCAGAGTCACCTTGAACCTGCTTACTCCAGGACTCAATAGGTTGATAAAAATGTCAAATCCAGTCTAAATATCTGGCTGACTGTGTGACAGACCACCGCCAACAACAACAACAACAACAACAACAACAATAATATAAAAGATTGCATGCTGCTGTTATCCAGCTTTGTACTTGCACTATACTTTGTTTCAGTGTTATGGTGATCTGAATGGAGAGAATAGGCTTCAGCTCAACCCTGGCAAGACTGAGTGACTGTGGTTTTAGGGTCTCCCAGATCCAGGGGTTTTTCATCTTTGGTTACACTGCCCCAAACAGATCTAGTGCACAATTTGGGAAGTTCTTCTTGACTCCAAAGAGCAAGTGATAGCCATGTCTAGGAGGACCTTTTTTGTTTTGTAAAGCAGTTGTACATCTTCCTGCATCAGGAGGCAGTGCTCATGGTCACTGCTGCCTTGGTCATCTAATGAGTAGATTACTTTTATGTATTGTCATGGCGATGTGCTATATGAAGCTGCAGCTGGTCTAGAATGCAGTGGTGCAGGCAGAAATGGGAACACCTTAGTAGGCCCATATTACACCTTAGTTCCATAAGCTCCACTGTTTTCCAGTGTGCATCCAGATGGAATTCAAAGTGTTGGCTCTCATCTATAAAACCTTCAATTGAATGTAGCCAGATTATTTGTCAGAATGTCTTTCTCCAGTTGTTTCTACCTGTGTGACAGGAGAGGCATGCTCCTATCCTTTTGACTAAAAAAATGCTACAGGACTTGGGAAACAAGTCTTTTCTGTCATAGCACCTGTCCTCTGGAAAACCATATTCCCCAAGACTAGATTGGCTCCAACTTACTAGCTTTCCATAAGGCCAGCGCTATAAAGTGCTAAAACTAGAATGTGCTCCAAGTTTGGGGGTTGAGAGGTTAGATGACCTTTTGAGTAGTTTCTGTTTCTGTCGGGTCCATTCTTGGTAGTCGTTGTTGGTTTTTCACTTCACCTTTGCTGATCAACAATATGGCCAACTGGTCATATTTTCCATATGGGCCATGTAAATCCACTTAATGATTAATTAATTACCACATTTGCATTTCATTACCCAGTGAAAGATCTGAATTAACTTTGCACATTATGTCAAGATCATCTTAAATAGTTTCTTAGAGTTATTTTCACTATCTGGGAAGTTCTTTGTAGAAACCACACCACACAAATCATACAGTTGTATTTATGCCTTATCCCTCCTCAGATGATAATATCAAAAACTAAAATGTCCAAAACAAATAAACAGCTGGTTACATTTCGAAAACAGTCATACAGAGCAATAGTCAATCAATCAATCAGAATAGATTGGAGGTCTTCTAGTCCAACCCCTTGCTCAAGCAGGGGACCTTATACCAGGGGTCTCCAACCTTGGCAACTTTACGACTTGTGGACTTCAACTCCCAGGGCTGAGGAATTCTGGGAGTTGCAGTCCACAAGTCGTAAAGTTGCCAGGGTTGGAGATCCCTGCGGCCTATACCATTCCAGATGAGTGGCTGTTCAGTCTCTTCTTAAAAAACTCTAGTTATGAAACAGTTAATAGGCATTGCTGCTTCTGGAAGGAATTGATCCAGAATCTAATTTGAATTTTAAACAGCATCCAAACTTTTTCAATTTTCCATTCAAGTTTACATCCTTGGAATAGACAAACTATAGCCTGTGCTCATATATTTTATTTTTAGGCACCAGCCAGAGTGCTCATTCTGTGCAGTCAAGCCTTATCAGACATTCCCCTGCTCGTGCCTCAGTTGCCAGCCAGTCAACTTACTGCTACAGCAGTCGTCATTCATCCCTCCGGACATCCACCACGGGCTTTGTGCCTTGCCGACGGTCTTCCACCAGCCAGCTTTCCCTTCGCAATCTTCCCTCATCCATCCAGTCCCGTCTGTCCATGGTGAACCAAATGGAACCCGCTAACCAGACTGGCATTGCCAACATGCAGCATGGCCTCCCTTCTTCAAGCAGTTCCAGTCAGAGCATCCCAGCCTGCAAACAGCATGCTCTTGTTGGCTTTTTAGGGACCGACGGAACGACGAATGCCACCGATTCACAGGCAGGCCCAAATGTGAGCCCTGTGAGCCAGGCACAAACCAGAAGGGATGATGTTGTTTACAGAATTCAGGTAAATGAAATGTAGGAATTGATATGGTTTATATCCCTTTACTACCTAATGACTATTTTTATGGCTGGACAGTTATGTGTTTAATTTTTTAACCTTCCCTACACTTCTGGAATGCAACCCTGTGGAATGAAAAACTAATTCTTAATATACAGAATTCGCTGAAGACTTCAGATGTAACACTGAAGTCTCTAGGGCTGGTATCCTCTAAGGCAGGGCTTTTCAACCTTTTCACCCATTGTGCCACTTTTAGGATATGGCAACATCTGAGTACCACCAGTCACCTAGCAAGGTGTCAAAAACTTGATGACCAAAAAAGGAAAAAAGTGATAAAGTACAGGTAGTCCTCGACTTACAACAGTTCGCTTAGTGACTGTTTGAAGTTACAATAGCACTGAAAAAAGTGCCCCCCAAGGCACAGCCAAGCAAGACACCTGCCTGCGGTGCTCTTCCTCCTGTCCGAGGTTTTCATTGTTGTGAGCATTTCTGTTGAGGATTGGCAGTGGGGGTTAGGTGGGGGGTGTTTGGTTTTTATTCCCCCCGTCTGCTGGGTGGCTGCAGCAGGTTTTGGTCACTTCACATGATCCTGGGACACTGTGACTGTCATAAATATGAATCAGTTGCCAGGCATCTGAATGTAAATCACAAGACCCTGGAGATGCTGCAACATTCCAGCTGATTGGTGCTTCTTCAGGGCTCAGCAGAAGCACCAGGATCAGTGCCAAGCTCCAGCTGGAACCTGGCGCTGATCCTGGTGCTTCCACTGAGCCCTGACAGCCCTGAAGAAGCACTGATCCTGGCGCTTCCGCTGAGCCCTGAGAGCCCTGCAGCCCTAGCCATCTCTCGCTCAGACTTGTGTGGTGCTGCCACCGGTTCAGCTCATTCCTCTCCCCTGGTACCACTTTTCTAGGATGGTCGCGTACCACCTGCCAGGTGCCAATGTACCACAGGTGGTACCCCATACCACTGGTTGAAAAGCCCTGCTCTAGGGCTGTGCTGTGCTTTGGCTACACTTCGAAAATGGTGCTTCAGGGTATACATTCACTAAAGAATAGAGAATGAATAAGGCAAAGATATGGTCAGGGAATAAAGATCTTTGTATCACAGGAAAATATGGTGTAAGTTAAGTATTAAAGCTGTTTCAACAGCTTTCTGTAATGTTATAATAATGCTATTAGGTGGAGAATTAAGCGATGATTTGTTTCACTGAGTCTCCACATTTCAGTGTTTTTACATTAAATAGGCTTGCTTGTCTAATGTTGCTTTGAGGTCCAAGATTGGTGACCCAAGTTTGGAACCTGAGAAAAGCATTAATGGGAAACAACGAATTATATCATATTTCCTTTGTGTTCTACTCAAACTAGTTGTAGGAGTGTGAAACCTGTGTCTCTCTAAAGTTTTTTGAAATATATTTCCTTTCTTATTTTGCTGTCTGGTTTTGTAGTGTTTGGAATCCAGTTATACTTGGAGGGATATGCAAAACATTTCAAGTTGAAAAAGTTTTTATCTGTTTCAAAATGGGGCATTTCAGACTCGGTTCTTGCATAGCACTAATTTTAAGCTGCTTCTTTTTTTAGATAATAGATCCTAGCCAGATTTTGGAAGGGATCAACTTATCCAAAAGAAAAGAATTGCAGTGGCCAGATGAAATGATAAGGCTAAGAGCTGGAAGAAACAGCTGGAAAGACTGGAATCCTCAGGAAGGCATGGAAGGCCATGTGAGTTTCATTCCTCAGTTGCCTTTGTTATTGGCATGCTCAGAGATTATATTGATTGTACGTAAATTCAAAAAGTGGAGCAGTAAGAAAAAACTAATTCTATAAATTCTAAATTATAACAATAGACGGGAATATGCATCATATCTCTTTGCATTATTTGTTCTGGAAATCTTAACTTTTTAAAACAACAACAACAACAACTTAAGACCCAGTCAATTCTGCATAGTTTCTTGGAAGGTAAGAGCATAGTAAATCCATGTGAGGGAAATACATATATGTAATGAAATGCATTGTTAACCGAAGTATGACTTTTCCTGTTTCCTTGTTTCAGTTCTGAATGTATTTTCTCCTGTGAAATATAGGAATATTTCTATTATTATTTTATTCTCAATATTATAGCAAAGAAGATTCTTACCAATAACGTTCAAAAGTAGAATCAGAATAGTTTCTGTGCTGGAACAACAATATAGATAAGTAAGATCTGAAAGCCTAATCTTGATCCTCACGTAGTCTGTATATATTACTTAGAAATGATAAGGTTCTAGTATTACAGCTCTAATATATTTTCTTTGCTTGCTATCTCTGCTAGGTGATTCACCGTTGGGTGCCTTGCAGCAGAGATCCAGGGCATAGGTCCCATATAGACAAAACCATCTTGCTCGTCCAAATTGAAGACAAATATGTTGCAGTGATTGAAACTGGAGTCCTGGAACTTGGGGCTGAAGTGTGACCTTCTTGGACAATTAAAATCTAGTCCATCTCCACAATGTTTAGAAATGAAGTAAGGAGTCTCAGAAGAATACTCTAACAGCTTAAGTAATAGGAAGAGGCTTGAAAATGAAGTTAAGGGTAGGATGTCAGTCTCCAAAACAGTTAAGGGGGTGCTTTTGATCTTTTTCAAGTTAGCTACTGAAGAAAATATTGTGCATGAAGGGTAAACAGGATGTATCTTTTGCTTTATACATTATTTTATCCATTGCAATGCTTTAAAACAATCCCACATTTTCCAAGTTTCAAAACAGGAGCATCTCATTTTTCTAATTGTCTTGCCAAAAATATTTTGTCTCATTAATGTAGATTCAATTCATTTTTTAAAGCAGCTGAAAACTGTATAAATGTTGAGGTCAGTGTGAAGCTGAATAGAATGTTTCATCAACTGCAAGTGTAACCAGATTTCAAACTTCTTATTTCTTCTAAGTGGAAAAAAAGATCATTGAGAAAACTGCACTATTTTTTTTATGGCAATGCACTACAAAAATCTGAGATTGCTCAGAACATTTATTGATATAAATATATATATATAAAAGAAAATACCGTTATTTAAATTGCCTTTGGGATTAACCACCTTCTCCTCCATATGGTAGGAAGTATCATTGGTTCATTTTTGGCTTAAAATTGCCCAGCAACTTATTTATTCTGTCCTGTTTAAAATATATGATGGATTACCAGTAATTATAGAAGAAAACTACAGGGAAGCCTACTCGTGGTGAAACCAATTAATAGTGTATTTTTTTTACGATGGGCTCAATCATACAATTGTGCATATTTTTTCTCTACTTTTGTTATTTTTGTTATTTTCCAATATGGAGTCAACAAAAATATATGACTGGGCTCCTTTGGAAAACTGGATGAGATACATTGTTTTAAATAAGGTTGTGACTTTATCTCTGTTTTGGGACTTACTCCTTTATTAAGCAAAATAGTTTACTTTTTTAAAAAATGAAAAGACAAAAATCAGAAGGCATGTTGTATCGTATTATCTGTATCATTTTGCGTTTTAGTTCCTTTTAGTTGCTATTATGTTCTGTGACTTGAATTTATTTTCAGTAATTATATATTCTATAATAATTGTACTTTGCATATAACTGTGAAACTGATTTATATTGCATATCATCGATTTTTACTGATTGGAATTTTTAGTGTGTGTTGTCAGGGAAACAAGTTACTCCAACAGCAACAGAGTAAGGGGACAAAATTGCAATTTTTTATCTTGCTGTTTCTATGACTTGCTCACAATGTTAATGGAAAGTTTTATGTGCAGTAGTTATTTCCTTCATGTGATCTGAAAGCCTGGGCTCAGTGGGAAACAGAACAATTTGCAGTTGTAGCTTTTAGAAGCAGCCATCTTTTATTTTTGAACTATTCCTGTGTTGGGTGATCTTGCAAGCAAGAAATTGCAGTGAAACATAACCATTGTACACTTAATGAACATAGCCAAATGATGTCACAACATGAACAATCCGATACCATAAAAAACAGCCTTTGCCGGCTTGCTAAGTATATACTATAGCAGTAAAATGCAAATGCTATTCTTACTATATTATAATCTTGACCAGGTCACATACTTGCAAAGCTGTTCACTGCTGCAGATAATTGTTTTTAGCATCTGAAAACCACAAGATTTGTGTGTGGGGGGAGCAGCATTAATAATAAAATATAGAAAAAAGCTTCAGAAAAATTTTGCTGTTCTGGTAAAATATACATCACCTGCTAATGTCTGAATGCCCCCAATTTAAACCCTGATGCTATCATATTTTCATCATTTTATGAACAAGAGAAAAACCATTTTCTGAGTTTTGTCAGCCATCTATCTTCACATTTTAACTGACAATTAAGTATTCATTTATCTTTTTGACTTTCCTAAAAATAGAAAGAAACGCAATCTACCTTTCAAAAAGATTAATCAGTCATTTTGAATATATTAAATCCATTGATAAAGAGAGTGCTTTGGAAGGTTAACTTGAATTAGGCAATGAAAACTGTAATGTGGAAAAATGGGTTTTTCTGATAAGATTTTTCTTTCCTATTTTTAATTATTAATAGGAACAAAAAATGGCACTCTGACAGGATACTCCACACTATTGATTATATTTGAAACTAAATAGGTTTATTGAAAGAGATTATAATTTCAAGACTTGATATGATTATATGTAGATACATTTAGACTGTGATAAATTTAGTTTAAATAACTGAAAACAAATTACTTGATTAGCACAATCTCAATCACACCTTTGTTAGATATAAATCTCATCTAATTAGTATTCATGAGAATATATATTTAGTTTTATTTCCAAGTTTTTAAGATGTTCATCTCCCAATAATTTGGTGGAATATCCTTTATTTGGATTAACTATTTAGTATTTATGGAAAAAAAATTATTTGCTTGTTGCGGTACATGAGTTTGAAAGCCAAATTAATAGTTTTGCAGTTTTTCATATGTGGACTTAGTGGCTTTCTTCATTAATTTCTCCAACTAGTTATGACAAGCATTCTGAAAACTTTACATTTTTTTTTTGCATTTGATACTAAGTCTTGTAGAAAACTAGTAATCCACTAAATTAATTTCTAGATTAAGCTATAATATTTATGTAGACAAAGTTTATGAAAGTCAGTTTGCCTACTATCAATGTTTATAAATATATGCATAATAAACTGATAATCCAAGTAGGCACTAATTTAATGTAAAATCACAGACATATACTTAGCTTCCCAGTTAATGTTTTGGGAAATTAAAGAAGAAATTTCTTTTACCTTGTGAAGTGCGTTAATTTTCATAAAGAACAAAATCTTATTATTGCTTAATATTGAGGTAATGTTCTGTAGATGTTCTTGTAACCTAGGAAATAGATATGGAGGGAAGGAAAATGTTTTTGAAAAATTATATCTTTTACAAGGTGTTTTTTTCATTATTTGTTGCTTTTTCTACCCATGCTTGCTGCTGTTGGAGAATGACTAGTTGCATAGCTGCAATGTTGTGTGAAAATATTGAATAGATGGTACAGAGTGTTATGGAAGAGGCCTTTGAAAACTTAGATTTGGGGGCAAATTTTACCCAAGCTGACATTGAAATGCCTTCTTAACAGATGAGATAAAGCAATGATGCCAGCCAGCCCTTCAGTTCTATACATTTTAAGTGGTAATAACTCTACCAATGGACTAGTGCATTTGAAAGAGCTTTTCAAAGAATATCTAAATATTTATTATGAGCTGTAGCTTCAGCCACCTTGGTTTTATATACCTAATTTTATTAAGAGAGATTTTTCTTACCTATTATATAGGTTCTACTTGTCTGGTCCTACTTGGTGATTGGTAACCTGATGCCATTAGCCCTGCAATGCTAGACAGTATAAGAATTATAGCAGTATTTAATGTGTGCCTTAGTAAAATGGTGATGAGTACATAAGACCTTGGTGGGAGCTAATGCCCATATCTAGTTTTCCCAAAAGATTTTAAAAGATGGCTGCTCTAAAAGGCTTCATGGATTTATATGCACCGTTCATCAGCAAATATATTTGAAAATACCATTTAGATATTTATACTAACTTTACACATGACCCAAATGGATGACAAAAGTCACAAAGGTTAAAAGTCAAACGTTACTTCTTTATGAACTCAGCCAGATAATGAACTGCTTATTATTACCTTAAATAATGGGAGGGTGAAGATAAAATGAGTTGGAAAATGGAATATGTGCTTTGCATTTACCAGCATATGGAGAACTTGCCAGGGATAGGGTTATGTGTACTTTGTATGTGTCAGTGAGAGTATGAGCGTGTGGGTGTGTGTGTGTTGTTTGAAACAGCCTGTAAATATTGTCGCTGTTTAAAACTGGGAAAAGTTGACAGGATTTGTTTGTAACATGTTGCTTTGAAAAGACAGTATTGACAGTGAAGAAACAACGAAATTTAAAAAAAAAAACTTCTTGTCCCTTGTTTTATTTTCATGTTCGGCTTTTTATATTGAAGACTTTTAAACAACTACGTATAAATGTTACATGTTTCACTATTCTTTTTCCCTTGAAAAACAATGGTGAAAAATGTTCTGGTTAATATACCTTCTCTTCTGTTCTTTAAATAGAAATGACTTTATGTATTCTTCCATTGCCAAGCTCCAAAACTGTCATTAATTGAAAGGTTTTGCATTTTTATAGATGTGCATTTTATTGTACTCATGCTATATTTTAGCTCCTGTTATTCATTATTCTCATTACATTCATGATAAATTTCAGCAGGGCATATCCCTTTCTTTCTAACCCCTCTCCCCCCCCCAAAAAAAAATGAGATTAGTCTTATATAAGATTGTAGTAATATTCAGTAACACTTAATACACACACAGCCTGAGATAAGATCACCTGACCAATATTATTCAGTCTGTAAAAAGAGACCCTCTGATAGTAACCTTTTCTAGTAGCAGGTATATTGGAGGTGCTCTTGGGATTTTTCTGTATGCAACACTTTGAATTATGACTGAAACCACGAGGAGTACGTGGATTTGAGAAACATGTCAGAAGAAATAAAGTGAGGCAATCCTACTTAAGTATAAAAAACATACTGACTTTGAATACAGGAAAATTCAAAATCAACCATTCAAAACTCTGAGAGATAGATTTCCTAGTTTGCTTTTTATCATTGCTTTTGTCTATAAGAATTTTTGCAAATTCATACAAAATATAAAACCAGATAAACCCAAGGAATAATGATTGCTTATGGCCATGTAGTAGTTCTCTGATTAAATTAAGAATTGATGCAGAGACTTCACAGTTTCTCATTCTTACCTGATAGATTATTCTTCCACATTAAATGGTCTCCAGAGATTTTGATCACAACTCAAGGTGATTTAAGGACTCAAGGTGCTGGTAAGTACAATTTCAGGAAGAAATGTTGGATGTAAGAGAGGAAAGACAAGGCATTTTAGAAATTGTATTGTCGGAACAGTGAAAGATGTGAATAATTCTGAAAGAGAAATGAGCTAATGAAAGATAGGAGAGAAAAGTTTGTGCTAAATAAAGGCCAGTATTTTAATAGAGGAACTTATGTCATTTGACAACACAGTACACTTTGGAGCACAATGAAGAGAAGAATTACATTGTGTGAGAAGTAAAAAAGGAAGTTAGAATGATCAGGATAGAATAGGAAATGGTAGGAGTGAAGACAACAGTGTCAAAAAAGGGTATAAACAAAGAGTTGAGT